GGGGGGGGTAAAAAAAAAACAAAACCAGAAGCAGCTTCCCCACTGCCAAACGTCCCCAAATCATGCAGCAACAGGGCAAAGCAGGGACTTAAGGTTAGAAAGGAGGAGGTGGTGGTGGCTGGGGGGGGTCAGGGCACAGGGACTTGTTGAGCAGGAAGGGGAAGAAAGAAGGCTGGAGCCCCATGGGGCAGCCTAGGCTCTCAGGCCAAATCCAGTGAACTGCTTCTCTGGGCTCAAACTGCCTGGCTCTGGCACGGGATCCAGGTAGCTGTCCCAGCCAGCATGAACAAGCAGAGCCCCCAGATGCCCACCAGCCCCACTGCTGCCCCACGCCTGGCCAAGCGCTCACCTCGCCAGCACCCGGCATCCTCAGTGATTCACCGTGATGCCCAGCTTGATTTTCTCTTCGTTTTCTACATCGTAGACACCCCTCTTGTGACACCTGTGAGGCCAAGCGAAGAGATGCTCAGAGTATGAAGTCCCTGCCATCCTCCCCTGCATGTAGTCTTCCCGGGGATGCAGATCTGATGGCTCAGTGCTGTTGCACTCACCTGAGCATCAGCAGGGCTGCGATGATGACGAGACACAGGGAAGACAGGACGACAGCAACAACGGCCAGTGCTGTGGTGTGGTCGTACACGCTGGGGGGATGCTCCACAGGCAGCGAGAGGCCGTGGCATCTCTCTCCATGATATCCTGGCTGGCATCTGGGCAAGAAGAAAAGTCTTAAAGGTTGGTGGTGACTGAGCACAGAAGGTCATTGGGTTTCCTCACACCCCCGTGGAAAGGAATTGCCTCTTTGCTCAGCCTTAGCCAGCACCCTGCCCATTCCCCTTTGTCCCCCTCCCCTGAGCTGGGAGGTCTGGTGTCACCATCACCTCCCTGGTACTGGTAAATTAAGTTTCTCCTGCCCCAAGCACCAAGTGAGGACTCCCTGCAGGGACCAGTTGAGCTCCCTGCAGTAGAAAACACCAGGCTCTGTGCTCTTCCCACTTGTTCCCAGGCAGAGCCAAGCTGCCCAGAGCACCTCTGGAAGTGGGAAATCGCACACAAGGGAGCAGAGAGGCAGCTGGACTGGAGTTCAGTGCTTCTCTCAGTGCAGGACATCCCTGCACACCCTGCCAGCCAGAGAAGTGCCACCTCCCTGCAGACTCAGGTTACTCACGTAACAGAAATAACGCTCCCCAGCAGAGCTGCGAGGCTGAAAATCCTCCCTGTGAGTCAAAGCGCACTGATGCAAGCAGATATATATATCTCTCTCTATATTCAGTGCCACTGACCCTCAAGCTTATCTCCAAGACGCGGTATCAGCCCAGCCATCCTGCCTGGCTCGCAACAACGCCACGCACCAGTGTCACGTCCCAGCCACGGCAGTGAGGCTGGGTACAAGGCAGAGGTGCAGGACCCAGCCTGGCAGCATCCTCACCCCACCCTGCACCCCGGGGGACCAGCCCAAAGAAGTGACAATACAGGAGACCTTACAACACGAGCAGCCAGCCACCAAGAAAGCCACAACTGAGTGACACCAGCCAACATGAGGCATCATTACTGGAGGAGACTGGGGCAGTTGGTCGCTGTTCCTAAAAACCATGATGACTCTGGGGAGATGTCATCCAGGGATGGGCCACCAGGCTGGAGAGCCCCAGCCAGCCCCTGGAACCCTCCTGCTTGCCCATGTCCAAGGTCCTCTCCCAGCCCCAGGAATCTGGGTAGCGCAGGAGGCTGGGCAGGGGGCACCTGGCTGTCCCAGCCCCATGCAAGGGGTCCTGCACCCCACATCACACTGGGTCACCAGCCCAAGCTGAGCCAGCAGAGATCTCCTCCTGCTGGCAGTCCCGAGCCCCCTGTGCAAGGGCCCAACTTCATGACAGCTTCCAGGCAGACAGAAACTAAGCGGTTCAAGGAGTTATGTGGAGCCTGATCCCTGCGGATTGCAGGGTGTGAGATCTTGTGGGCACCATAAGCCAGGGAGCTATTATCTTCCTTGGGCTCCGGGCACAGAGCTGGGTGGCTCAGAGGATTGATAGCAAAGAACAAAGCCTCTTATATATCTGCCAGCTCAACTCCTGCCCACGTCAGCGAGGATCAAATGTGCACCCCTGGCTATTTCCCGTGGTACCAGTGCTGGATCCAGGTGTCCCGGCAGAAGGCAAACTCTTTCTCCTCTGCTTGGCTCATCTAGACACTGCTCTGTACCTGCATCCCAGGGAGGTGGGCAAGGGGGTTTACATAGCCCTGTCCTTCATCAGGGCCAAGGGACAGCTTGGGGGTGGCTTTAGCAGATTGTCCCTAAAGGTGCTGCCTCCAATCTGCCTTGCTGATGGCACAGCAGCAATGCTCCTCCTGCCTGCACCACTACATCCCAACAGCCACGGGAGCCCTGAGCTCTCAGCCAAGGCTGGCAGCAGTGAGGGATGGGGGGACACAGGGTTACAGAGTCAGGATGGGGTCTTGTATACCAGACCTGCAGAAGACCTTGGCTGCAAGACCCCAGCCCTGGCTCACCGTCCTCCAAACCCAAAGGCTGCAGGTCTCTGTGCAGCAGCTCAGCTGGAGCATACCCCCCCACCCCCAACAGGGGATGCTGGGTCTAAGTCCACAAGGGATTTTGGTGGGGGATGGACATTGCTTAAGAAGCACAAGGAAGAGGCCAGACGTGGACGGGGAACATGCACTAAAAATATCTCCTCCACTCTTCCTCTGCCTGGCCTGGAGAATTGAAGGAACCATGACTAAGGCTCCCCCGGCACAGGCACACGCCAGCAACTCACATGCAGGAGGGAGCTCCGAGCTCTCGGATGTATTTGCATTCGCCGTGAATACAGAAATCCTTGTACTTCCGCAGGCACGGGTCTCTCTTCTTCCCCAGGCCTTTGCCTTTTCTTCTTTTATTCCCGTTTCCTTTTTTCTTAGGAGTAACCAGGCCTTGAGGCTTTGACAGGAAAGCAACTGAAAAACAATTTGGGAAGGAGAACACAGCAGTCAGATCACCTCCGTGCATCAGCCTAAGAGAAGGCAGAGCAGCAAACCCCAGGCTGCTGCAGCCAGCTCAGCCCTGGCACTCCTGCAGCCTTTTGTGCGGTGATCTGCCCCCGAGCAGAGGGGGTTTTTTTCCCTTTTTTTTTTTTTTTCCCCAGCTTCTCACAAATATCATGGCCTTTCCAATTCATAAGAACAATTCTCAAGAAAAGAAAGGAGTCAGGGAAGGGGGGCCAGGGGGAACAGAGCTTTATGCATCTCAAATGTTGCTATTATATGCACCAGTTTCCACTGAACACAGAAAATGGCTAACTGCCCCTTTATTTGGCTTTTATTTCCTTGAGGAGCGCAGTCTTTTGTAAGACCCTATTCATGGCTCTGATGGACTCTCCTTCCTGTGGGTACAAGGATGCCTTGCACACCTCCGGAGCAGATTAAGAGAGCAAGCCTGGCTTAATTTTTGTCTTTACAGAGCCAAAGAGATGGCAAGGGCAGCATTCCCATGAATTACAAAAGTATGTTTTAATTGCGCCTCTTGGTGCAAGGCCAGCTCGCTGCTGAGTTGGTGGGAACCAGAGCACTGACCTCCTTGCCTGGACACGGACAGAAACCAGAAAGGTTACTGGAATAGTTTTTAAGACATGCAGATGCCCAAAAAATCAGCCCCCAGCTTGACTTCACAGGATGCCAAGATGCTAGAGAGTGCTCACAGCTCCAAGAGGGACTTAGCTCCCCCCGAACTACGGTGCTTAATAACTTGAGTGAGCCTGGGGAAATATGAACTAAACCCTGAGCTGCTTGGGGAGTAGAGAGTGGCAGAGTCTAACCTGGCGAGTTGTAACCTGCCTAATTCCTTCTCAGCCACTTCCTGACGTAACCAGCGCCTCTCGCGCTGGAGCATGCCGGTTGCACACCTAGCAGTTATTTCATGATTTTAACATTCACACTACGCCTGGAGAAAACTGATACTCCAGGAAACTCTGCGGCTTGGAGAAACCCCCGGATCTGGGTGAGGCCCGCAGCTCTGCCCCAGTCTGGCAGCAGAGGCTGTTCCCTCCCCTGTGGGTTATCTCCTGGCTGCAGCCAGTGGACACACAGTGCTGCTGACCCCCCCCTGAAGCCACCTCCACTGTCACCACCTCTCCTCTTCAAGGCTCTGTCCCTTAGGACAGCCAGGGAAGATTTTTTTAAGATTTTGCTTGGTAAGAAAACTGGTCCAGCCCAGGTGGGCAGGGGGATGCTGCTGCTCTCCCCCTACTCAGACACCCTGGGGGCTGCGGCACAGAGGAAGGTGCCTTCAACACAAAAGGCAGATTTTTCTGACCATAGCTCAGCTCAAGGCATCGAGAAAGCTCCAAGGGGCTGCAGCCTCAGTAACCAAATATCCCCCATCCCCTCAACCTGTCCCGCAGACAAGGGTCATCCCATGCCTGCCAGATTGCTTGCTGTAGGACAAGGTCCCCTCTTCAGGGGGATGGACAGAGGAGCAGGCTGGAGCATCTCCCTCCCAGCAAGAGGGGTAACAGTGTTTCCCAGGGGCTTTGTCCCCTTGGATGCCAGGGGGTCAGCCCTGTTTTGCTTTTTTTTTTTTTTGTCACAGTCTGATAGCATAGCCAGAAAGCAAAGAAAAAACATAGAAAAAAGGGAAGATGAACCCTATGGGGCAGAGCACACTCCTCCTGGTACCAGGTTACTGATCTCACCATGCGATGTGCAAGGCACAGGTACAAGTCACCCCCCTCAGCCCCCCCCATCCCACCCTCCCAAGAGTCCCGGGCACACTCTCTGGTCCCAAGACAGGGGAAAGGAGCCAAGCATGAATGCCCAGCGAGCCTAACAGAGGGATAGTGTCCCCAACGCCCCCGTA